CCATGAAAGACATAGTTCAATACTGATTTATATTTTATCCTTAGCATCTTCATGCATCAGAAAAGCTGAGCTGCACTAAAGATGTTTACTCTTTTTAAACCTGACACTAAAATATGTATTTACTGCAAAGGTGGTGTTTAGTGTTTATTTTTTTATTATAAAAAAATGAACTTTATTTCAAGTGAGGCTATAAGGCAAAGTATTTTACTTTCAAAAAAACTAGGTTAGTCATTGTTTAACATTTTATTACTGATACACATGTGACAAGATGACACTTCAATGGTAAGTTAACAGGGTTTTCCTCTGCAGTATCAAACAAAAATCATGCAAAGAAAATGCTAATTAAGATGTTATAAGCAGTTGATAATCAAAGTAACCTTTCCTGACCCACATTAGGATAAGAAAACCCAGCGACAGAAGGCACTTAGGCTAGAGTCTGACCCATTTTCTCTCTAAAGCTGTAGAAATAGCTGTAAATGCTAGGAAGTGAAAATGAAAAATTTAGTGCTAAAGCAAACTATGGTTGTAACTTAATTCAGCACCTTTCCATTGACAAAAAAATTGCTCTCAAGAGGATTCTGAGTGTTGCCAGTAATTTAAAAACTGCAAATCTTGCAGTAACCACACCAAAATTTGAAGTGAACTGAAGAGTTCAGGAGTTAAAAGAAATAGGGTCTTTAAAAAGTTCATGACCAAGCTGCTGCTGCTTTTCTGAATTTTAATCTCAGCACAATAGTAGCACAGTAAGATAATCATGTGTGTGATGTAAATATTTATTATACTCTGGCAGAAACCAGCCCTTAACTTTAAGTTATTCACACATTTTATAAATTCCCAGATCAGACTTTCTTCCTAATACATATGCATGATCCATACAGCTGTATTCACAATGACCTGACTAATAGCATGCAAACTGACAAAGGGTATTACAAAAGCAGGATAATAAAGCACAACAAGTTATTCTTACTACCCTTCCCCCACCATACATTTTACCCTTTGTGTTCTTTTATACTTACCATGCCCTCGAAGCCAACTCTGTAAAGGTTTTTAGCACCATTGTCCCAAAGAACATATGCTGCGCTATGTGGACTCGACGCACTCCAATCTTGGATCTCAGTCACCTATTCAGTTTTAAAAATAAGAGAATTGTTTCTAGAACAAAGACTTAGAAGCACAATTTGAACTTAAAACCTTCTTATGCATCTCTTCAGAATAATTCAGGATACAGCAGTTTTACTGAATTTAATGAAGTTTATTCTGAAGCTGTTTTCTGTTTTATACAAGTGTTCCCTAGGTGTCTTAATAAGATGGCAGCCTAAATATATACTTTGTAGGCCTATCTTTCTATTATATATTTGGTAGGTAGTCTAACTACATAAGTAGAGAACAAAATCTGAACTGTAAAAAATTCTTTTATGATGCTTTGACATGTTCTTAGTTAAATACTGCTTCTAGTAAGAACAACAGGATGAGAACTATTTTAATGGCTTCAATTCATCTGGTTTAACCTGTGTTAGCCTGGTGGCGGTGCGCTATGTTAGAAGACAAAGTTTTATTTCCAGATCCAATCTGTTTAACAACAGTACAAAAGAAGGAGAATGAAAAGGACTTCCCCTGACATTTCTAAAATTGTAAGGCCATGCACCCAATTCTGAAAACACTTCCATGACTCAAAAAAATCAATTTCCAGAATTTGTCTTCACTCTTATCTGCATTTATTTAAAAGCTGTTTCTACTATCTACCATCTGCCTTTCCCCTCATTAAAAACATTTATATGCATTCAGACATATTTTCAGCTTGCAAATAATCCCACTAATTCAAGTTTAGTACATAAAGCAGACAACACAGGAGAAGACTCTTATTTTGCAAAGTTTCAGAGATTTCAAAATACCTTGCCAAATTCACAGCAAGGGGTAAATAATCAAGATGAAAAAAGCTGCATCTGAATATCCCTTGCTTTAAGAGATTTAAATTTATTATTTCCTCTCAAAAAAATCCAGGATGAAATCCTCAAAAGTCCTAAAGCCTCCGTAAGTGTCTAGGATATAAAATAGGCTAAGTATCTTATACAGGAACTCCTCGCTGTCTTTTAAATGCTGCTCCAGTGTACTAAAAATAAATTCAACAAAACCCAGCAGTTCAACAAGATATAAAGGCATCCAATACTCCTTCTAGAATATCTCATATTTGGTAATAAAAGTCATCGTATATTTTACACTCCCTGATGTATGTTCATACTTGTAACAAACCTTCATTAGTTCTCAACGCAAATGTAAGTTGTAAATAGAAAATTTGCAAAGGTTATAATTAGCAACATATCATTCCATGCAATTTTCAATAAATCCAAATATTTTTATTGTACAACTATATCAAAAACACTCGTATAATGTCTTAAGCCAGTAATAGAATATCCACATCCAACACTTGCAAAGTTTTTAATTTTAAACTGGAAAAGTCCCTATAATTATTAGGTGAAAAACAAAAATCCAGGGTGCAAGCACTGAAAACCAAGGGCAAGAGATACACAAATGTGCTGACCCACAAGCACTAAGACTACAGAATGCAGTGATGACCAGAAAGGGCTATTCTTGAGAGCTCTGTTTTTATACCAGCTCTCTAGTAATGCTGAAATATGCCCAAGGCCTTAATGTTGTTACATGCCAGCCTTAAACAGAACCAAGTCAAAAATGTAAGAGTTTTAAAAAGTTTGTGCTGGTATTGTAAAAAAGCAAATTTAAAAGAACTGGCCACAGTATACATCCCCTCCTCTTTCTAAATGCTTGACCATTATAGAATAAGATTTAAAAAATGTTCAGAAAATTAAAATAGTAACTTTTATGATGGTATTTTTACTCTACAATTAGAAAGGCCACCGAAGCCATTACATGAGCATGTAGAAACGCATCTTCTATTTAAACCAGTTTTATTTTACCTTTCCTCTACGCCCATTGCCACCATCTTGATCTTCCCATTGCCAGTCAACTCCTCGCACCACCCTGGCACCTGCAAAGATTCCTCTTGCTGTAATTTTCTTTGATTTACGGCGAGACTCCAACAATACCCTGAAGTTATTAAAAGAAGAACCCACAAATGTCAAGATAATAAACAAAGTCCAAAATGAATCTTTGGGGATGGGAAGGAAGGAGAGCATCTTGAAACAAAAATAACCCCACAAACGCAGATTTCAGTGCATGAATTACATCCATTCAACTCTCAACTTGAAGAGCAGCCCACAAGATAAAAACCCATGATCTTCCTAAATCTGATTTATTGTATGTTTATAATCAGCTTTTAATTCTAATGATAATTTCTTCTCCAAACTTCCTACCAACAGCAATAATCTTGTAACCACTTACATATAGATCTGTACTCCTATTATTAAAATCATTAAAGAAACATACAGAGTCATATAAACAACACATTTCTGTTTCTTTTAGATGCACCCTAGGACAATATTACTGTCCTGCAATTGCCCTGCCATTTTTATTCAGAATTATGCTATTTAGTAAGAGCAACATCTCTTTCCCCTCCATGTCTCAGTTTATTTTCTACATACTTCTTATAGCATATCTTGGAAAATTGAATTCAATATATCAGCATCTATTTGTTCAGTCATAATATACTATTTTTCTAAAGCAAACTTCTTCTCTCCCTCTGACTTCAACAGAACTGAAATAGACAAGCCCAAACAGAATAGTTCATGAGCATTTAACTTACAAATAGAAACAAAGAGACAAACATTTTCCTGCCTTTTCAGTCATCTCAAAAGCCACCAGTCTGCATGCAACCAGATTTCTTACTTCATACCAGGAAAATGTTGCCAGACAAAAGTATTTTTCAGCTGAAATTCTGAATGTTTCCTGACCTCTTCAGGAAGTGTACCACCCTCCTGCTAAACTTTTAACATCCAGCAGATGGCAGACAAGGAAAAAGTTAGTGTTAGAATCAACGCAAAGAGCACATGAAAAGTATTAGCCACTTTCATCCAAGTAATATAAAAGAGTGATAGACAACACAAAGATATGTCATTTATAGCAGCATTTTAGAAAGATCTCAACACCTACAAAGCTGAGACAAAAACCAGCACACATTACTTCAGTATGCTGCCCATATGATATCCCAGACTCAAGAATAAAATAGGTTGAGCTTATGTTTTCCTTCATCCAAATGTCCTTAGATGCCTCTTGCCATTTATCCTATTAGATATCCCCCAAACTCAATAGCACTGCTTTACCCTTTTCTCCTCCCTCAAACAGTTAACTTTAATCAATTTTTCTCAGCTAAGCTTGATCCAATAGAAACAGCTCCTTGGCAGATGAAGCTGCCTTCTAGATAGGAGTTGCAAAACAGAGCTCAATGGGAGTAAACAAAGATGGGGAGAAAGTGACAAGATGCAAAAGATTTCCTGCAATTCTATACATTGCATACACTCTATCTCCAAAACTAAAAACTATGCTTCATACACCAGAACAGACCACTTGAAATTACAAAGGGAACTTCAGGAAAAAAAAAAAGAAAAAAACAAACAAACAAAAAAAACCCCCCACATACTTGTATTTTGTTACCTATTCTCTATTAATTACACTAAGCCAGCAGTTTCTACTCTTGGATTCAACTTTAAGTCTTGTTCTGCATAAGAACATTATAACTGAAACACTAAGCTTATGGTATCTATTCGGTACCTAGATCTGCTGGCATGAATCTCAAAAAACCCAGAGGTTACTTTTTTGATTAGGCCACTGACCTGGGTGTTTGAGCCATAGTTAAACTTCAAGGCAAATGTTTGAGAAAATAAACACAGTCCCTACAAGACACCATACCAGAACTCAGTTTGTGTGCTCCAAACACTTCCCTTAATGTAAAAGCACTGATAAAAGCACATCACTGAATTACAACATATTTGTAAAGCTTACTTCTCCAAGAAGAGGAAATAAATGTTGTCTTACACACATTGCATTTAACCAAATATCATATCTAACAAAAAAAAGCTTCCGATGATTCAATGAAAGAACATTATGGAGAGTTATCACAGTCGTGATACCACAGCATGTAGCCTTCATGCTTAGTAACAGGCAAATACCACTGTTCTCACTTAACTGGTAGATAAATCATGACAGAGAGGGGCTTTGGATTTAGACAAGTTATTTAAAGTCAAGAACAGCTATGCAAGAACACACTAAATGCCAATTTTGTTCAGAGTTCTCCACTGGGAGACAGTAATAGATGCCTAAGAAAAGAACATGAAAACCAAGGCAAGGGTAGACAACCCTTCACAGCATCTTTTCTCTGCTTTCTGTAGTGAGCAGTTTAAGCAGTTCAAGTCAGGGATTTTGTCTCTAGATCATTCTGTTTTTCATAGCCCACAAGGAGGATATTTTCCCTCAATCTGTCTACACCATTTTTGAACCTAATTAAACTTTCACATTCAGGAATTCATTGACAAATCATTTTGTGACTACACGTTGTGTAAAGATAATTGCCTTTGTTCTAAAGCTGCTATATGATAACACAAGAACTAGGAAGACTGCAATGATGTTAAAAGAAACTGAATAATCATACCCTAACTTTCTTCTCTACTCCATTCTTTCTAGAATTTCCATGCTTTCCAAGCTCCAAAGATTTGTCCTAGCTACACTCCCCCACAAAGAGGCAGAGAGCCAGTAACAGAATCCACACCTCAAGCCACTATCTTACCTAATCCAAGTTTCAGTAACCCAATCTGCAGTTTAAAAGTTAGCCACAATTAACTATTCCTATTTAATTTCATGGGAAAAAATTATGTTTTACCTTTCACTTCCTGGTGTGGTAATTCTGTAAAAACGATGCCTCAAGTGATGTTTGTCCCCATGATAGCAAACCGTGCACAAGTCATAATTCGTGCATTCAGCACATTTCCATCGGATGCCAATGATGGGTTGCTGTCGACAAGTATCACACATAGTCCCATCATGCTTGATACCTGTGGGAAGAAAAAGGAGAAAAAAAAAAAAAGACTAACAACTTTGCTACATCACTACAGATTTCTGTTGCACACCATTCTAATTTGAAACCATATACTAAAATGTTAACAACAAAGAAAGGCTGCTAGTGATACCCTACCAGCCTATACAACTGAGGGGAAAAGATAATGGACTCGTATCTCCAGTTGTCAGTCTGTTCCTTACATGTTCTATCTTTTCTCAGCTCAAAAAGCTGAGAAAGCTATGTTTGATTTTTTTCCATCTATACAAATCAGATAAAGAAAATGATAAATCCTTTAACTGCAAGTTGAAGGGTCAGAAATGAGTATATCAAAATATACAGCCACTCTGGAATTTTATCTCTGGATTAAGACTATCAGCACACCTTATACCACAAAGGCTACTGTGTTCAACTGTGCGTGGCAGTTTGAAAATCATTGATTTGACTTACACACTTTGTACACTGGAAAAGGTAAGTGTTTATCTCTATTCTTTTTCATATAGGAAAAAATTAAGCTCTGTTGGACAGATCCATTAGCTTCATGAAAATCTGTTACCATTTTTGAAGCATTTTACTGCTTTGTATGTTGGGGTTTTTTTCTGGAAAGAATGTGCCAAAGACAGATCAGATGTAACCCACCAGCATGTGCTCTGCCCAGCCTTCCACAAAAACCGAGTTCTCAAGACTACTTACTCCTACAGCTTTGCCAGGCTACAGCAGAGTGAAAGCAATCAGTCACAGACAGTTTCCATGCATGCGTTCTGAATACAGTGAACAGCCACAAGTTTATTAAAAAAAAAAAATCAAATTCCGGTGGTGTTTGGAAAAAATTGAGCAATAGAAGAGAGAAGCACTGGCATTCAGTCTATAGCACAGGATAAAAATGAGCACTGAAAGGTTGGAGTAACTAACACAGAATTTTCCCAGTCACTCGCCCTTAAAAAAAAAAAACAGCCAAAAAAACAGATCACTCAAATTAGTGAGGAAAAAGAATGGTTTTTTGTCCCCTCCAGAAGGGATGCTTTTGGAAATGACTGCCAAATTCACTATAAACCTATTAGTCACTTGTGTCCAACAGCTAAGCCACCTGCTGTGAAGAAAAATCAACAGTTGGAGAGGCAAAACCGAAGGAAATGCCTTCTTGTCTGATCATTTCACAGAATCACATAACAGCTGAGGTTGAAGTAACCTCTGGAAATTGTCTAGTCCAACCACCACTGCTCAAAGCAGGGTAAACTAGAGCCGCTTGCCAAGGACCATATCCAGTCAGGTTTTGAGCACCTCCCAGAACGCAGACTCCACCACCTCTGGGCAGCCTGTTCCAGTGTTCAAAAATGTTTCTTCTTATGCTTAAGTGGAATTTCCCGTATTTCAGTTTGTGCGCATTGCCTCTTGCCCTGTCACTATACACCACCGAGCCTGGCTCCATCCTCTTTACAATCCCCATCAGGTATTTATATACACTGGTAAGATCCCCTTGAGCCTTCTCTTTTCCAGGCTAAAGACCACCAGATCCCTCAGCCTCTCCTCATACCAGATGCCTTAAGACCCCTTAAACCACATTTGCAGCCCTTTGCTTGACACACTTGGTAAGTCCATGCCTCTTTTGCACTGGGGAGCCCAGAACTGGACGCAGCACTCCAGGTCTGGCCTCACCAGTGCTGAGTGGAGGGGAAGGATCACCTCCCTCGACCTGCTGGCAACAATCCTCCTAACGCAGCCCAGGATGCCACTGTCCTTCATTGCCACAAGGACATATTGCTGGCTCATGGTCACATGGTTGTCCACTGGGACCCCCAGGTCCTTTCCTGCAAATCTGCTTTCCAGCCAGCTGTCCCCAGTTTGTACCAGTTATTCCTCCCCAGGTGCAAGACTCAGCCTTTCCCTTTGTTGAATTACATGAGATTCTTGTTGGCCCATTTCTCCAGCCTGTCAAGGTCCCTCGGGATGCCAACAAAATCATCTCCTGTATTATTTCTCCTAACCAAGAAGGCTTCTCACTCCATCCTCTTCCAACCTTGATTATAAATGTATTTAGGAAGATTTCTGGCCTCATGATAAAAAGTTTTCCTGATGCATGAACATTGGAATAAGTATTTAGCTAAGGCTGGAAAAGGTAACACATTTGGAGCAAAGACTGCACATAGCACCACAGAGATCTGAGCACCTCTTCAGGACAGCCAAAGATACCCTTCAGTGACAAAAAAAACCCCTGAAACTGCTGACGTTATACTAAATGATCACTGTAATTCCTGGAGAGGTTAATGACTAAGGCGGCATTCATACCTTGAGCGCAAAGTTTGTGCTGAAATTTTGAAGGCCTGGCACAGACAAGTCCTATAACCCATAACATTATGTGCCAACTCCAACTGCCAGACAACACACCTCGTATACCATAATCGCTCTTTTTAACTAACCTTCTACATTTAAAAATTATTTGCTGCCTGGTAACAACAACTAAAAATGCTGGTTTTCTACAAAACAAGAACTTGGAAATCACCTATACGTTTTCTCCCCGACACAACTCCCATCAATGACCTTGCTCCCGACATGGAGGGTTAACATCAAAGAGAAACCTATCTTTCTTCTTATGTACACTGAGACTTTGATGTCTGGTATCTGTTGATTATCTGTAACACTCAAAAAGATAGTATTAGGTATGATCTCACAGTGGCTGCCTCACTGTTACGAGTTGTATTGAACTATTTTACTACTTTTTTGGTAGTCTTCAAGAGCAGGTGCATTAAAAGGACTCAGATATCCTGTTACTGTTTTGTTGCCTTGCTTACAAAGTCTAACTAGTTATGGTGCTTGGGATTGAGGGGTGGTTTGTTTGTTTGTTTTAAATTGATTGCTAAACTGGTATTTCACATAGAAACAGAGAAGTTACTCATCTTTGGAATTTTTTTAATGGTTGCTGAACTTCAGGGAAGACAGCTTGCCAAGGATCGCATTTATTCTGGATGTAAAAGGACCCAGGAATTGGGTGCTGCAGGATTCTTCACTTTGTCCAAGCAGCAGGAAAGCGGGCAAAAGAAAGGTATAATCATGAGTCACGTAATAAAGAACTAGGTCATCTCACAGTAAACTTAAATCAAAACTAAACATTTCTTGCCAGTGAGGCAAAAGCTGCTGTGGAAAAACTCAGAAAAGCTTCATTAGGAAAGACCAAGAAAGAAAAAAAAAAAAAAAAAAAGACAAAGATGTTTGACTCAAAAGTCATTTTACTGACTATAGTGTCTGGGACTTAAAAGAGAACAGTGCATGTCTGTATTTGGAGTCTCTGATTGAGAGTCACATCTCTATCTCACAGATCCCTAAACACCACCCTGATAGATACAGCCTTTCTTCAGTCATTCCCTGACACATGATTCCAGCAGCAACACCCACTTCAGTGCATGCCTCACCTGACCATGCTGCTCCATTCTTTCCATTATGCCAGCAAAAGGTTTTTGCAGAGTTGAGCTGTAAACTGGATCAAGAAACATACCCGGCTGAAAAACACCCAGGAGGAAAAATATTCAGTTGAATTGGTTTCCCAATCCTGTTCTTTGTGGTGCTGCACAACACTGCTGGCACAGCAAACAAAGCATTGCCGGGCAGGAGCAGGCAAGTAATCCTGTTACAGAATGTTTAACCATGGCACTAGAGATCTGGAGGGAGAAGTAGATTTGTATGCCTCTGGTGACAGCAGACTAAGAGAGTTTTAACTTCATCTGCTAAAAAAAAAAAAGATGCTAAAACAAGGTGCTACTACTGGATCACAAAATGTGAGCACTAAATTCTTCTTCATGCTCATAATACAAACAAAATGAACTATTTAAATCAGTAGTATGTTTTAAAGAAGGTTGAAAGAATAATTTTATTTTTTTAAGTTGAACTAGTTATTATAGGTACACAAGTGTGGTGGGTTGACCTTGGATGGCTGCCAGACACCCACCCAGCCGCTCTCTCACTCCCCCTCCTCAACAGGACAGGGAACGAAAAAGCTTGTAGGTCGAGATGCATGTGAGATCACTTACCAACTACCATCACAGGCAAAGCAGACTTGACTTGGGGAAAATCAAATTTATTGCCAAGTAAAAAGAGGATGGCAAGAAAGACAAAAACTAAACCACCTTCTCCCTACACTCCCCCTTCTTCCCAGACTCAGCTTCGCTCCTTCATTCCCATTTTCTCTATCTCCCTACTTCTCCCCAGGGGAGACAGAATCATAGAAGCATTTCTGTTGGAAAAGACCCTTAAGATCGAGTCCAACCAAGACCTAACACTACCAAGTCCATCACTAACCCATGTCCCTAAGTGCCACATCTACACATCTTTTAAATACCTGCAGGGATGGTGACTCAACCACTTCCCTGGGCAGCCTGTTCCAATGTTCCAATGCCTGACAAACCTTTCGGTAAAGAAACTTCAGTGAAGATGGGGAATGGGGGGTTATGGTCAGTCCATAACAGCTCCTCACACTTTTCCCCTGCTCCAGCATGGGTCCTCTCCACGGGCTGCAGCCCTTCAGGAAAACACTGCTCAAGCGTGGGCCCTCCATGGGCTGTAGCTTCCTTTAGGGCACGTCCACCTGCTCCAGCATGGGGTCCCCCGCAGGCTGCAGGGTGGATACCTGCTCCACTGTGTCCCTCCATGGGCTGCATGGGGACAACCTGAATCACCATGGTCTCCATCTACTCATCACCATCTACTCACCAAAATTCAGTACTGAGGACCTGATGCTGGCACTACACACATTTGGGGGGAAAGAAGGAGACATCATTTTTAATGCCCAGCGGACTGAATGCTCATCAGCATTGAGATCATATCTTTCAATTTACTTCCACCATGTAGTAAACCAGTTTGTGTGGTCCAAAACCACCCCATGATGTAAACTGAAGCACAGTACACGCAGGAACCACCAGGAGACCAGGTCAAGTGTAAGTACTGGAGCCAAAGTGAAATCCTGACCCAATGCAACCTGTATCTGTCACATAAACCACTTCCGTTCTTCAAAAGGAAGGCTGTTTAAGAAAGGTTGAGAAACACAAACTTTACAAAGCTTATATTAGGAAAGAATGCCCTAATTAAACTACTGGAATATATTAAAGTGCCATAAAAACTTCAGAATTCAAGTATCAGCCTTGCAGCTGGCCAGCTGTGAACCAGAAGAGCACTTTAGCTCTCTAAAATAATGCAAACACTAAACCTCTAAACATTCTTCAAAATTTCCTAGGAGCACGCTATTTCAACATGAAACAGGTTTTGTACCATCCTCCATACTGCACTGAAAAAACCAAAAGAAACCAGGTAACGAGAAGGGTACTTTCACCATGCCTAATTACTTTTAAATAGCTGCCATTTCCTAATGTCCCTCCAGCCTTAGCACACCATAAAATCCAATATTCCTGATCTCCACTTGTCATTAATGTTTTTACTATTTGCATTTCATATTAGTTTCCTAACTTTATGTCCCTGCCACGGTTATTTTCACTTTTGTCATCTATTCCCAAATCTTCCCTGGATTACCTAGCCCACCATTCCTCTGTCACCACTCATTTATACATCAATTTTACAGCCTTTGCCTACAAGTTTTTAAAACCCATGCTCGCTCTTAAAGTTCTGAAAGGAAATAGAAGCGGTGTTGCTCAAATTGCTATTTGATTTTGTTACAAATATCTCTGTTGTATTAAAGACAATTTTCAAAGGTGGCAATATACAACTGTCCAATAAAAGAACATTTTAGAACATTAAAACAAGATGTACAAGGCGTATCCATACCACTCTGTTAAGCACAGCAGAAGTCAATAGTGATTTCAATTACTTCTCAGAACCAACAAAATCTGGTTTCCAATGGACTCGTTATTCTCTACTAAACTCTAATAAGCCAAAATCCTTTCATATTATAATGACAATACTACCATCAGGCAAGGGATATCACAAACTATTTAGAAAACTGTTTCATTTACACCCAATAGCAATACCAATGTTTTGTTCTTCCTGTTCTTCCACACCAGATAATTTTTACACTATGGCCAGACTCCAGACAAACTGAAAACAAAGAATTCTTAGAGATTAGCCAGATTTCGACAAATTGTGTGAAGACTCAAATCAGTGTCCCCACAAACATAATTCATTTATTAAATACCCCGTTTGGCAGCAGCCAGCTGACCAATTATTACATACAAGAGATGCCAGACTTGCCAAAGCTTGTGTCCTATCTGGTAAGGGTATCACAAGATACATGAGGAGGGAGAGGATTATTGTGTAGGAGACATGGGGGAAGGGCAGAAAGAACAAAGGACATGTTTATTAAAAAACCCAAGCCTTCCAAGTACCATTGCTCATGAAGCTATTAGATTTTTTTACTTGCAAGGGGTTCTGTAAGTATTTACAAATAGCCACTAAAAAATCTTGACCAAGACAATTTGCCTTAAATTACACTTGATGTGCTAAAAGCAAGAATAAACAAACAAAAACATAGGATAAATCATCGGCCATGCTCTACTTTTTAAAATGTTCTGACATGTATGACTTGATGATGATTTATGCAACTTTTCAGGTTACAGAAAACTGCTAATACAAGTAGAAAAAGCCACTCAGATCTTCAATGGATAACACCTGAATTTTCAGTATTAGCAGAATACAGCACATTAAGCTTTCCACGCCGCACAGATGCTCGCTCTAGCTGCAGGATAATTCCATGACAAGATTCCCTTTCCTGATCCCAGCCCCTCCACCACCTCCCCTTATTCAAACACAATTAAGTATTTTAAGCAGGAAAATAACATTGTTACTTTGAACCAAACATATAAAAGAGGAAATGGATGACAAATTAATTTTTGCTTAAGCTTTGTAGAAAGCAAATCTTCAGAAAGAGTTGAGTTTCTGTAATGAGCATGAGTATTATGTGAACATAGTCAGGAGTGCTCTCTACGTACATGCTACTGTACAGTCTTTACCTTTGGCAAAAGGCTGCCTTCCTTTCTAAATATAAAGCTCGGGCTTATATACTTACATACTTTTAGCTTCTGTTTAACAACTCAGAAGACCACTCCTTTCTGTTTCTTTTCCACAACAACTACCAGAAAAAGGGGACCCTCAAGACTCCTAGGTCCTGGCAAAAGGCTACTTTACAGAAAGACCAGATTTATTTGCAAGTCATCAGGCAACCACACTGCACTACTAATGTATCACATCCCACTCCACCACTTACTCCATTTAGGAGCCAACTACACAGGACCTAACTGAAGTTTCCTTTCTTTTAACTGAAGTTTCGTTTCTTTTCAGATTCTTAGTTTACTAATCCCTCTCAATCTCTCTGTCTTGCTTAAAGAAATGCTGGCCAATGTAAATATGATCACCAATGGGCAGCTAATACAGCTAGCTTGGTAGACATAACCAGAAAACAAAACAAAACTTCTTATCACAAATCATTCATTACCCAGATGACTACATCTGGAGCAAAAACCTTACAAGAGATACTTCAGGTAAATCATCGATGACTTTTTGTTTTAAAGACGACCATCCTAAAATCTTAGTACTAAGGCTATTTAATTTTTATAAAAAGTTAATGCAATGCTGGTAGTAGCCTACAACAATTAAAATACACGAACAGTACATCATTAAGTCTATGAAACATTGTTCTGGTATTAAAGGAAAGGCATATACATATATATGCACATACATGTATCAAACTCCAGGGTTTTTGTTTGTTTGTTTTGGGGTTTGTTTTGGTTTTGTTTTTTTTTTTTTTAAATAGAATGAGCTTCAAACTTTACTTCTATAACACAATGGGTTCCTGACACATCACTACTGTTTCTGGCTGCACAGGCCTCAAACTCATCAAAGCAGCAACTCTGGCTGCAAGCACTGCTTTTAAGAACTTATAAACAAGTCTGGTTTTGAATACCTAATACAAAGAAGTCCCAGCAATAAATAATTTAATTTTGCTTTCTACTGCTGTATTTTTATATTTGTTCTCACCATAAACTTACAATCATGTTGTGACTGTAAATTTATGAACCAGAGAAACTTTTTTTCATTTTAAACTACAAGAACCATGATTTAACACTGTTAAGTATCATCAAACCAAAAACCACCCCATATTTTATAACATTTCCTTGTTCAACAGCATTGTTATTAATACTACAGTTAGAAATTCCTGTCAGCTAATACCACTTTTCCTGTAACTATTTATACCAAAACTATCTAAATACCCCTAGCGATAGTATCAAACTATCATCCAAAGTCAGAGTCCCTTATTCTAAACAACAGATAGTCAATACCATGGAGAAAAGTAAGTAATTGCAAAAAGGTGGAAAGCTGAAGAAGGGAAGTGATTTGCCTAAGAATACAAAGTGAATCAGTAGTAAAACCAGGATTTCAGTCCAAATTGACAGCATCCCAATTCCATGAACTTTGCCCTTTTGCTGCTACTACTTTACAAATTTTTACTCTTCCTATCTCCAGGGAACCACGACCTCAAAAGTAACTCCCTCTAGCAAAAAGCAACCATGGGTAGCTCCATGCAGCAGTTCCGTCAGGATGATGCACACGTTGGCCAAAAGCCTCAGGAAGGGAAATACCATTTTGCAAAGCCTGAAAACAGCAATGTTTATGACTTTTTCCCACAGCAATATACATAGTCCTACCTGAAGCAGAAATTAAAATTCTAATACAAAAAGTACAAATATAACTGAAAAGCAGAAGGAATAAAGCAGAAAAAAAACAATCAAAACAAAAACCAGGGACTTAAAACTGACTATTAAGTGTAGGCTTCCAGATGCAGTTAACAGGATACTGTCAGCTTGCAAATACGTCAAGCAGAGCTAGAATAATGAGCATTCAAGGCTCATATTCAACATTTATGCATACACTTCAGTTTTAAGCAGAAGCAGTCCCACTGGTTTCTACAGGACATCAAATGCGGGTAAAGTTTCAAAGCGTAAACATCTGCAAGACAAGGATCAACAACTTGAAAGACTGCTCTTAACTTCTTGTTCCAAGGTCCATTTCAAAAAGATTTTCAGCTCATTTTAATAGCATCTACCCTCCAAAACAACAGGAAAAACCCAACTATGAAGCTGGGGAGACGAAGGTACCCAGACATAGAAAAACTAAATCCATCTCAAAGGCTCACCATGCAATGTGTGGTGTGGTTTTTTTTTTTTTCTTAGCAACATCTTTGTAATTAATTAGAATGAATTCCATGATGCTGTTTCTTCAAAAGTCAGTTAGCTTCAACCCACTGCTATAATTTTCCTTTCTGTAACACTACACATAGCTGGCTCAAAGATGGTCTCTCCTCTCCATCACATTCTAAATGAAAGACACGTTACAAAACCAGTATATCTAAGTTCCCCAAGAAATCGGTCCAATCACCTCATTATTGATCCAATCCTGCCCGGCCTCACTATATTTCTGATGAAACTAAACAATGTATTTTTCTTTGTGAGTTTTCACTGTCAAAACAGGTGCTAAAATGAACATTTCCCTGCAGTGTTTGCAACACTAACACTGCCGCATAATGTCAGTGCAGATCTAAATCCATTGTCCAAATTGACCGAATTTGAAGCATAAATATCAGGCAGCCAAGTAATTACAAGAATGAACGAACGCTTTTTTTTTTTTCCAGTACCTTCACTATTTTACAGCGGGTCTGGCAATACAGATGAAAGGCAAC